TCGCAATGTCACATGATGTCATGCAACGTATCGGGCTGGTTTTGCCGTTGCTGGCAATGGGGTGGGCGTGGCTTCCACGTGACGTGTCTGGCCCGCAGACCGACAGTTTGACACCCCGGTCTATACCATTTCAGACGTGGCTGTCCAGTCTCTTCTTGAAAACCTCCAGTGATGTGGCACCCACAACTTCTGAAGGGAAGCCATTCCACTGATTGATTGTTCAGTGTTTTCAAGGAAATTCCTCCTTAATTCCAGGTTGCTTCTCTCCTTGATTAGTTTCCATCCATTGTTTCTTGTTTGCTTTCTGGTGCCTTGGTAAATAGTTTGCCCCCCTCTTCTTTGTGGCAGACCCTCAAATACTGGAACATTGCTATCATATCACCCCTAGTCCTTCTTTTCACTAGGCTAGACATATCCATTCCAATTCCTGCAACTGTTCTTCATGTGTTTTAGCCTCCAGTCCCCTAAAAAAATTGGTTGCTCTTTTCTGCACTCTTTCTACAATTCCAACATCTTTTTTTTAATATTGTGGTGACCAAAACTTTGTAAAGTGGTATGAATACTTCATGTGATCTTGATTCTATTCCTCTAATGCAGGGGTCTTCAAACTTGGCCCTTTTATGACTTGTGGATTTAAACTGCCAGAATTCCTGAGCCAGCATGGGATAGAAAAGAAAAGAAAGAGAATGAGTTTATGGAGAAGTGATTGCCCACTTAAATATGAGCCAGCACTGTGTGGCAGCAGCCAAAAAAGCTAACATAATTCTTAGTTGCATAAACAGAGGCATAGAATCAATTAGTAAGGCTACACCTGGAATACTGCATACAGTTTTGATCACTGCATTACCAAAGTTGAGACTTTGTAAAAAGTGCAGAAGAGCAACTAAGATGATTACAGGCTTGGAGGCAAAAACATATGAAGAACAGTTGCAGGAATTGGGTATGGCCAGTCTAGAGAAAAGAAGAAATACGGGTGATATGATAGCAACATTCCAGTATTTGAGGGGCTGCACAAAGAGAAGGGGGTCAACTTATTTTTTTCAAAATACCAGAAGGCAAGACAAGAAACAATGGATGGAAACTAATCAAGGAGAGAAGCAACCTGGGATTAAGGAGAAACTTCCTAACAGTGAGGACAATTAACCAGTGGAACAGCTTGCTGTCAGAAGCTGTGGGTGCTTCATCATGGCAGGTTTTTAAGAAGAGATTAGACAGTCACGTGATCATGCAGCAGTCATAAGTGTGAAAATGGTCATAAGTCATTCTATTCTACTCTACTCTACTCTACTCTACTCTACTCTACTCTACTCTTCTTTTCCACTCCACTCCACTCCACTCCAATCCAATCCAATCCAATCCAATCCATATCTTCTATTCTATTCTATTCTATTCTATTCTATTCTATTCTATTCTATTCTATTCTATTCTATTCTATTCTATTCTATTCCATTCCATTCCATTCCATTCCATTACTTTTTTCAGTGGTGTTGTAACTTTGAATAGTCACTAAGTTGAATTGTTGTAAGTTGAGGACCACCTGTAGAGTTAGTTAGAGAGCTACATAACCCCTGAAACACTGGGAGTTAAAATAATCCAGATGGTGCTTTCAGGTTCACTTTAAACGTTAAGTTTCAGTACAAGTGCAGACTTTTGAAAGTGAGAATTGGGACAAATGATCAATGTCTGAAACTTTTCACACAGAGACAGATGTGGATGTACAGGAACAAGAAAACTTTTAAGTTTAGCACCTTGGCTAAAGTGAATTATTTTATTTTTATTTTTTAATTCTGTCATGCTATCAGGTTATTTTTTGGAATGAATTAAAGTATTTCTACATTCATGTATGTGTTATTATGTATATTATTTTATGCATATTGTATCATATATTATATTAGTAATATAATAATAAAAATGGGTTTGCCCTGTCCTTTTTTTTTTTTTTTTTTTTGGCTTTCCTGTTTTTGCTAATGCCTAAGTTCAGTTTCTCACACTTGGAGACAGTTTCAGTTTTTTCAAGTTTCAAAAAAGTTGGTATGCATTTCGATGCACACTTTTTTTAAACAGATACATTTTTGTCTGCAAACTCATATGTGAACCGTTTTCATATATTATCTCTAATTGAATGCACTTGGGATATTATTTTTATGAATTTATGACTTTCGTACAGATGGTTCCTTTAAAGATATTCTCTTCAATACTTATCAAATTCATTACAAATTCAATTTTGAATAATTTAATTAAAGATCTATGTTCATTCAAAAAGGCAATATTAGAAAAATTCCCCATGAATGTTCAATAGCCCTTTCCCTTCCTTCCTTCCCTCCTTCCTTCCTTCCTTCCTTCCTTCCTTCCTTCATTCATTCATTCATTCATTCATTCTTCCTTTCTTCTTTTCTTCCTTCTTCTCATTCCCGTCTCCTTCCTTCTCATTCCCATCTCCCTCCCTTCCATCCCATCCCATCCCATCCCATCCCATCCCACCCTATCCTATCCCATCCCACTCTATCCTATCCTGTCCTGTCCTGTCCTATCCTATCCTATCCTATCCTATCCTATCCTATCCTATCCTATCCTATCCCATCCTATCCTATCCTACCCCATCCTACCCCATCCCACCCCATCCCATCCCATCCCATAGAAAATAGGATTGGCAGCTTTTTCCTGCCAAAAATTAGACCCAACCTAGAATTCTTAATTGAACAGTAACAATTTTAGTTCCCTGAATCCTACCTTCACCTTCTAAAAAAGGTGAGCAACAAAGATGATTAGGGGACTGGAGGCTAAAACATATAAGGAACGGTTGCTAGAACTGGGTATGTCTAGTTTAATGAAGAGAAGGACAAGGGGGGACATGATAGCAGTATTCCAATATCTCAGGGGCTGTCATGAAGAAGAGGGAATTAAGCTATTTTCCAAAGCACCTGAAAGCAGGAGAAGAAGCAATGGGTGGAAACTAATCAAGGAGAGAAGCAACCTAGAACTAAGGAGAAACTTCCTGACAGTGAGAACAATTAATCAGTGGAACAGCCTGCCTCCAGAAGCAGTGAATGCTCCAACACTGGAAGTTTTTAAGAAGAGACTGGACAGCCATTTGTCCGAAATGGTGTAGGGTTTCTTGCCTGAGCAGAGGGTTGGACTAGATGACCTCCAAGGTCCCTTCCAACTTTACTACTATTACTATAACTATCACAAATAAATAAATAAATAAATAAATAAATAACCTCAGCAATGTGAGCTCTAAAGCTACTATGGGTAATTTTTTTCCCCTTTCACTTCCATGGAAAAAGAGAACATTTCATAAGAAAAATAGTATGGGAAGAAAAACATTATGTGGAAGAACCACAAATTATTGAATTTACTGAGCCTTTAAGACTCAGCAGAATTAATTATATATACCCAGAAGATGACAAATCTTGGAGCAAAGGTTAGTATTTGATCCAAACTTATATCAAGTTCATGCCTTGGTGATTCAAGATATTATTTTCTTAGCATCATGTCTGGATTCACATGGGAAATGAGAAACAGACTCCTCTGGAGATGTTATCCCAAGTGTCTATGAAAAAAAAATCACTCCATAACTTCTCATTTCTATGATCTAATGTCCAGAAAAGGCTTTAAATACTAGGTAAAGCATTTTTTTTAACCAGAGTGGATAAAATGTTTCTTTGAAATCCATTGAAACAAGAATATCATGTTTGCAGTTCCAGAATCTCCATAAGAACTTGTAAAAAGAGCTTTTTTTATTAATTTTTTTTTAAATTTTACAATAAAATTCCCTTCCCCCAAACCTCCCAACCCACCCCAATACCCTCCCCCAATCTTCCCAGAGCTGAATACAGGCTTAATTAGAACTTAAAAGAAAATTTTTTAAACACAAATAAACCATAAACAAATTTGATTACATTCATTAAACAAATTATAAAATACTTTAACACCAATATATATAGAAAACAGAAAGAGGAAAAGAAAAAAAAAACAAGAAAAAAGAAAAAGAGAAAGATAAAAAATTAAAAAAAGATAATAATAATTATACTTCTAATTATACTTCTAAATAATATCTTAAATTTTAAATATAAATTATTCAAAAACTAAATGGTATTTTTTTATATCGTACTTATATTGTATAAAATTTATCCATCTTTTCCACACCAAGAGGTAGTTCTCTTGCGATTGCTCTTTCAAGAAAGCCGAAATCTTTGCCATTTCCGCTAAGTAGGAAACTTTAAAAAACCATTCTTGCAAGGTAGGCAAAGATTCCTTCTTCCAACACTGCCCTATTAACAACCTAGCTGCTGTAATTAAATTTAACATTAATATAGTCTCTTTGTTATCACAATCCGAAACAATACCCAGCAAAAACAGTTGTGGGGTAAATTTTATCCTTCTTTTGAAAATTCTTTGAATATTCCACCATATCTTAATCCAAAAAGCTTTTATATTTTTACATGACCACCAAATATGATAATAAGTAGCATCCAAGCAGCCACATCTCCAACATTTAGGCTGCAGGTTTGAATACATGCGAGACATTTTCTGTGGATCAAGGTGCCATCTATAAAACATTTTATAAAAATTTTCCCGTAAATTTTGGGCTTGTGTAAATTTAATATTCCTCACCCAAATAATCTCCCAAGTATCTAATGGAATCGGTTCATCAAAGTTTTGTGCCCATTTAACCATACAATCTTTAACTAATTCTGCTTCTGAGTCCAATTCCACTAACACCCCATAAATTCTTTTAATGTGGGTTCGACTTCGATCTCTAATTTGTTTTAACAAATTCTCATCCTGTCTAAGCAGACCCACATTATAATCTATATTATTTTCTTAGCATCATGTCTGGATTCACATGGGAAATGAGAAACAGACTCCTCTGGAGATGTTATTCCAAGTGTCTATGAAAAAAAAATCACTCCATAACTTCTCATTTCTATGATCTAATGTCCAGAAAAGGCTTTAAATACTAGGTAAAGCATTTTTTTTAACCAGAGTGGATAAAATGTTTCTTTGAAATCCATTGAAACCAGAATATCATGTTTGCAGTTCCAGAATCTCCATAAGAACTTGTAAAAAGAGGTTTTTATTATTACTTCTTATTCTTAAGAATGGTTGGATATGTGCATGTGGAAATATGTTACTTGTGTTCTTCCAGTGGGTTAGGACGCAACCAAGGAGAGAGATAAATTTACTAAATATTCATTTACAAGAATCTATGTGGATGTCTACAAATTATTCCAAAGTTGCTTTTTCAAAAGGCAACTGGACTTTCTTTGTTTTTTCTTGAAGACATTTCAGTTGAAGAAGCTACTTGGATGAGAAGTGAAACAATTTCAAGGGAAAACAAAAAAAAGTCTAGTTGCCTCTGAAAAAGCATCTTTGGGAAAACTATGACTTGGATGACTGAGAATCTCCATAAAATGTCTACGAGCTAATGAACATGAATTTTATTATTTATTTGGTGGGACATTCTGCACTGATTTTCTTCACTATCTCTACATATTTCCTATTTGCAGAATATCATAATTTTCTATCTTACTTTCATAACTGCTTATCCATTCACCATCTTCATTTTCTTTGTGGTATTCACAGCAGAACATCCAGATTCAGAACATCCAGATTCAGCCATAGTTTCATTCCATACAGCATTAACCTTGTGAACTCTCAAACCTCCTTCTTCTGTTATATATTCAAAATGGACAGTATTTAATATTTATTTGTTAAGTATATGTAGGGGGGGTGGGTCTATATATATGTTGCATATAGTATGTTTTAGATGGGTGTCATGTATGTGTTTCACTTTGAGAGCGGGCAACTAAATTTCATTTTTCATGTGTGCAATTGTGCCCACAGTAAAAAAAATAACAATAAAGGTTATCTTGTCTTGTCTTGTCTTGTCTTGTCTTACCTTACCTTATCTTTCTCTCAGCAACGCATTTGTCTTCCATATCCAGATGAGTTTCCATCTACAAATGTTCTCCTACTATTTTCAACATCTTCCATCAAACTCTGGATTTTGTTCATCAATATTTTCTATCTACAGAAGATTCAAAAGCTGGAAGGATGAATAATGCTTTAAATGAAATATCTGAAATTCCAATAAATTAAGTCTTGGCAATAGTACGAGTGCATTTTTCGTACTAAATGTGCTACTAGGTTTTACATGTTGCAAATACAACAGTAATTCATGAAAACTGTGCTTAGAAATGTGCTTAAAGAGTAACTCATTGAAAACCTCATATTTTTCCTTGTTATAGGAGAACATGAATTTAACCAACTGTACGAGAGCGGTAGAGTTTATCCTGGTTGGACTGCCAAGTGTAGAGCGAATGGAAAGTGTGATGCATACAGGGATCTTTCTGCTCTACCTTCTCTGTCTGATGGGCAATGGACTCATCATTGTCATGGTAATTTTGGACCCTCATCTCCAGAAGCCCATGTATTTCTTCCTTAGCAACCTGTCTTGCATTGACATTGGACACACCACAGCCTTTATTCCTAAATTGCTGGTCAACTATCTCTCTGCAAACAATTCCATCTGCTTCTACTGCTGTATAACACAGCTGTTCTTTTACTTCTTCTTTGGCATTACAGAATTTTTCGTCATCACTTTGATATCTTTGGACAGATTCTTAGCCATTTGCTATCCTTTGAGATACGCCACCATCATGACTTCTGGGCTTTGCTTTAAGTTATCGATGACTGCGTGGTTTGTGGTTCTTCTCTATACAACTTCTCAAGTAATAATGGTAGCTAACCTACCCTATTGCACATTCAACATTATCAATCATTTCTTTTGTGATGCTGGACCTCTATTAAAGATTGCAGGAGGAGATACACATCTAATTGAAGCCCTGAGTTTCCTTAGTACTGTAGTTGTGGTGATGTCCTCCCTGCTTTTCACCCTCATTTCTTACCTCTTCATCATCTTCACCATTCTCCGAATGTCTTCAACAACCAGACAGCAGAGGGCCTTTTCTACCTGTGCTTCCCACCTGGTTGTGGTCTGCATTTTGTACGGATCAGTCTTTTTTGTCTATTTAAGGCCTACAATGAAGAATTCTTCCTTTGGTATAATCCGCTCTGTTTCTGTGGTGCATACTACTGTTGCTCCAGTGCTCAATCCATTTGTTTATACTATTAGGAACAATGAAGTGAAAGAAGCCATTTGGAAAGCATTAAGAAAAAAGACTCCAGCTTTCCCTAAAATCTAACCCCAGACTTGTTAGGAGGAGCAATCCCAATTCTTCAAGATGAGGAGTGGGTGAACTATCCATCAGCAATAGTGCACCATAACTTTACTCAAGGTAAGATTGAAGCAGCAACAGGTCAACATCCATAATCCAGTATTTGAAACTATGGTGATGGTAGAATCCATGGCTTCAATCCAAGTTGAATCCCAGGAAGAATTTATAATGGAAAGATAGATTTTGAATGTTCTTCAATCATGACAAAACAGATGTCAGTTTTCTTATGAATCTGTACCAACAGTAATAGTGATCTGCTCTCTGGATTGCTTTGTTGTTAACTTTGACTTGGGAATCAGTTTGCAGCCCTTTGGATTTCTTGGTGTAGTTTATTGAAGGAAGACCATTGGAATTAACAATAGAATCCTTTATTGTTCAATTGTGAAAAGACACATAAAGAATTTGTCTGCTGTGCATAAGCTCTCAGCATACATACAAGCAACAAGTGATAAACCATGATCATAATCATAAAACACAATCATCATAAATCATAAGATTCAAATTCAATGATAGTCATAGGATACTAAATAAGCAAACAACATAAATCATAATAGGATACTAAATAAAGACAATCAACATAAATCAGGAAATACAAGCAACCAAGTTATAGTCATAAGAAGCTAAGGAGATAGGTAATAGGAAAAATGAAGAAATGAGAATGATAATAAGCAATACAGCCATCCTAGTTGGTTTGACATCCTAGGGCATTAGACAGTGTTGTGGGACTTAGTTGTTTAGCAGAGTTATAGCATGGGGGCAGGGGCGGGAAAATATCTTGTGTCTGATTGTTTTGGCATGCAATAGCATCATCTTGAGGAAAGAAGTTGAAACAGTTTATGTTCAAGATGTGAGGCTCTGTGGATATTTTCACAGCCCTCTTACTGCTGTATACAGGTCCTCAATGGAAGGCAGACATGTTGCAATTATTGTTTCTGCAATCTTAACTATCTGTTGAAGTCTTTATCTATCTAGTTTGGTTGCTGTGCCAAATCAGCCAGTTATAGAGGTGCAAATGACAGACTCCATATTTGACAGATGACATAATTTGACAACTACCAAAATTCTACAGTTTTTCTGAGTGGAGATAATTAGGGGCTCCTAAGCAACTGGAAATCTTGTTCAGATAGATGCCTTATTTTTTTTTTTCCAAGAGAGAATAATTTTTGTTCCCAGATTAACATTTATGTTAATTATATTACAGAATACCAGTGTCAATGCTGCAAATACTGGATATTCTTGCTTGCCATATATGAAGAAGCAAACCTGTTTCATTTAGCTGTATAGCATTTCTAGAGTTCAGGCAGACAGTAGTAGTTAAGGGATGGGAAAGTATGCAAGTTAACCATAACAATGTCTGGGCACAGTGTGGCCAAGGTCAGCTCAGCTGCAACAGGAGGGGCACCTCACACTTCACATTAATTGGAGAATGTGATTGATGACTGTAAAATGAAGGAGTGAGTTATGCTTTGTTACAGATGCTTGGGGGAGGGAGGATTCAGTTTCTGGCTTAACTTTGTTAGTGCCGAAGCTATGCAGAATAATAAAAGATTCTTTTAGAGGAAAAAGCCTCAAAATTCTTTGAAAATCTGCTTTCTTTCGGAACCATGTCAACCAGCATATGATAATGGAGACTATTGGGATAGTTGAATTAACTGGAAAGCTTTGGATCATTTTTCCTATAAACTGATTTTTTTTAATAAAAAAAAATATTTTCCATTTATCCAACAAAGTTATACAACAAAATGCACTTTACAAAATAAAATAAATTCATAATCTTAACCATTACCATAACCATAAATGCTGCTTGCTCCTTCCCCCCAAGCTGTATCCACCCTCCTTAATACCTTCCTTACTTCCCTCCTCTTTCTCTCCTCCCCTCACTACTCTCTTCCCCTCCCCTTCTCCTCTTACCATCCTACTTCCAGCCCCAGGTAGCCTTTTGTCGTTTTTTTTCATCCTTGTGTTCATTTCAAATCAGTTTTTTGGGACTTGAGAATTATTTTATAAATGATGCACTCAGGTTTATAAGACTCCAGGGACATCTTTCCCAAAATATATGCCTTGTTCATTGGTTAATAATATTTTTTTTTATTTCTGATTCTCTTAAATAAATGTATCCATCCATATTATACAGATAGTCCTCAACCTATGACCACAATTTCTGTTGCTAAGTGAGACATTTGTTAAGTGGGTTTTACCCCCCTTTATGACTTTTCTTGCCACAGTTGTTAAGTGAATCACTGCAGTTGTTCAGTTAGTAACATGGTTGTTAAGTGAATCTGGCTTCCCCATTGACTCTGCTTGTCAGAAGCTCACAAAAGAGGATCACATGGCCCCGGGATGCTGAGACTGTCATAAATACAAATCAGTTGCCAAGTGGCTCAATTTTGATGACGTGACCATTAGGATGTTGAATGGTCATAAGTATGAAAAAGGGTCATAAGTCACTTTTTTTCCAATGCTGTTGTAACTTTGAACAGTCACTAAATGAACTGTTCTATGTCCAAAACTATCTGTATACAAGTAGTTCTTGATTCATGACCTTAATAGAATCTGCCTATTACAGTCACAACTCTTCATAGTCATTACATAAGACAGCCATGTCATCCCCTTGCTTAACAACCTCCATTCCTCTTTTCCCTGATGCGGTTGTTAAACAGAGCATGGGTTGCCTTAGGGTTGGGGGATGCCTTGAGAGGTGGAGAACAAACCTCGGGCCCACCAGCTCTATGTCTCTCAAGACTTTTCCCAACCCCTGAAGCAGCCCATGTTCTACTTCTCAGGGACCTCCACAGGCCTTTAGAATAGAATAGAATAGAATAGAATAGAATAGAATAGAATAGAATAGAATAGACCTTGGAGATCTTCTAATCCAGTGGTTCTCAACCTGTGGGTCGGGACCCCATTTGGGGTCGAACGACCATTTCACGGGGGTCGCCAAACAACGCAGTCCACAATTTTCCCCCCCTTTTCTTCGGCCACACCCCTGGCACCCAGTGATATATAAGTGTTTGGGGGTCACCACAACATGGGGAACTGTATTATGGGGTCGCGGCATTAGAAAGGTTGAGAACCACTGTTCTAGTCCAACCCCCTGCTCAAGCAGGAAACCCTATACCATTTCAGACAAATGGTTGTCCAATCTCTTCTTAAAAACTTCCAGTGTGGGAGCATTCACAGCTTCTAGAGGCAAGTTGTTCCACTGATGAATTGTTCCAACTGTCAGAAAATTTCTCCTTAGTTCTAGGTTGTTTCTCTCCTTGATTACTTTCCATCCATTGCTTCTTATCCTGCCTTCAGATACTTTGGAGAATAGCTTGACTCCCAGCTCCTGAGATATTGGAAGACTGCTATCATGTCACCCCTAGTCCTTCTTTTCATTAAACTGGACATCCCAGATTCCAGCAACTGTTCTTTATATGTTTTAGCATTATCTGTTTTAGCATCTTTGCTGCTCTTCTCTGCACTCTTTCTAGGGTCTCAACATCTTTTTTTATATTGTGGGGAACAAAACTGGATGCAGTATTGCAAGTGTGGCCTTACCAAGGCATTATAAAGTGGTTTTAACACTTCACGGGATATATTGAAACTTTTGGAAAGGCTTGAAATGATTTTAATATATGGCTTGAAATTCCTTTAAGTCTATGGGCTAAAGTTAATCTTATTAAAATGAACATTGTCCCTTGCATGATTTATATTCTTAGGGGAATTCCTGGGTTAATATTGAATCAATATTTCCTTTTGATTGATAAGTTATTCAAGGCAGTTAGTGGGAAACTTGGGAAAGTGGATCACCAAGGTTCTCCTTAGCTAACTTGAGATTAGCATTTGAGAAAAGTAGCTTTAATTTATCTGATCTGTAAAAATATCATTACATTTTATCAGCCCCTTGCTGTTGGAATGAAAACGTAGTGGAATATTATCCTGCATGGGCTAAATTGAAATTATTATCGATTTCCTTTGTGATCTTGGAAAGTGATTTGAACAATCTGTAGCACAAGAATGAGTGTGTGTTTGTGTGTGTGTGTGTATGTGTGTGTGTGGGAGAGAGAGAGACAGAGAGACCAAAGTATGAGCAATGAGAAATCCTTGGGCCACATTCGAATGTAAATTTAGTCTGAAGAGCAAAAAAGAAATGTAAATTCTCTAATCTCCACATAAATACAACTAGACTTGAGAAGACCACCATCTTCAATGCATAATGAATTAAGCAAGGGGCGGGGTTTAACACTGAATATATCATGACCTCATACAAAATGTGTGACACAGAGACACACACACACAATTATGTACTACACAGCATTGTATGCAGAGGCCATGATTTTGATGTCCTCATAACAACAACCAGATATACAGGTTGGGGAATTCTGGGAGTTGTAGTGCACACATCATAAAGCTGCCAGGATTGTAAAAAAAAATTCACAAAAGTGTAAACTTTCTGATTTATTCCACTCCTACCTCATCTGAATAGGGTTTCTAATCTGTGAATCCTGAGGATACTATGGTGAAAACCTTCAGTCTAAATGCTATGGAATACTGAATGGGGAAAAAGGGAAAATGGGAAGAAAATTATTCTTGTACATCATCATCTCCAAGCAGTTTTCTCCCATTTTTATTGGAAACTTTAAAGAGTCTTTGAAGATTTAATAATATATTGTTGTTGTTGTTAATTGAGAAGTCATGTCTGACCCATCGCAACCCCATGGACAATGTTCCTCCAAGCCTCCCTGTCCTCTACCATCTTCTGGAGTCCATTTAAGCTCGCGCCTCCTGCTTCAGTGACTCCATCCAGCCATCTCATTCTCTGTCGTCCCCTTCTTCTATTGCCCTCCATCTTTCCCAGCATTAGGCCCTTCTCCAGTGAGTCCTTCCTTCTCATTAGGTGGGCAAAGTACTTGAGTTTCAACTTCAGGATCTGGCCTTCTAAAGAGCAGTCGGGGTTGATCTCCTCTAGGACTGACTGGTTTGAACGCCTTGACGTCCAAGATAATAATAATATAGCAGACTCCATTTCTGAGAATGGCTCTTAGAATTTGATCCAAATAAAACCAGACATGAGCCTTACTGATTCCATGCCATCTTCATGCCATTGCCTCCAGAAGTTGTGAATGCTCCAAGTTTTTTAAGAACCATTTGTCAGAAATGATATAGGGTTTCCTGCCTGAGCAGGAGCTGGTCCCTTCCAAATTCTCTATTCTATTCTATTCTATTCTATTCTATTCTATTCTATTCTATTCTATTCTATTCTATTCTATTCTATTCTATTCTATTCTATTCTACTCTACTCTACTCTACTCTATTCTATTCTATTCTACTCTATTCTACTCTACTCTACTCTACTCTACCCTACCCTACCCTACCCTACCCTACCCTACCCTACCCTACCCTACTCTACTCTACTCTACTCTATTCTATTCTACTCTACTCTACTCTACTCTACTCTATTCTATTCTATCCTACTCTATTCTACTCTACTCTACTCTACCCTACCCTACCCTACCCTACCCTACCCTACCCTACTCTACTCTACTCTACTCTACTCTACTCTATTCTACTCTACTCTACTCTACTCTACTCTACTCTACTCTACTCTATTCTATTCTACTCTATTCTACTCTACTCTACTCTACTCTACTCTACTCTATTCTATTCTATTCTATTCTATTCTATTCTATTCTATTCTATTCTATTCTATTCTATTCTAAACATAGTCTATGGATTTTTATGGGAATTAAATATATATATATGTGCAAATGGTGTCCTAAGCTTCTGAAAAAAATAAACCACTACATCAGTGAAAGTTTTACATTTTCTCTTTCTGCAGCTGAAGAGACATGGGAATTAAACCAACTATAAAAGAGTTTGTCTTTGCACAGTTTATCCTTGCTGGTGTTCCTCCAGAGAGATTCCAGAAAACCTCCTATCTTGGGATGGCATTTGAATTTTGGCTTCAAAATGATATCAGCCTTGAATATATTGTAGGTGTAGTGCATGGATACTCATGGGAAATTAAAGGCAAACATCCTGAGACACTGTCTCCCTCTAAGTTCCTGTAGAGAATCAGTAAATAAACTTTCTATGATGCAATCTGATAAATGTTTTTAGCAGTGTTCCAATGTCTCAGGGCCTGCCACAAAGAAGAGGGAGTCAAGCTATTCTCCAAAACAGCTGAAGGCAGGACAAGAAGCAAAGGATGGAAACTCATCAAAGAGAGAAGCAACCAGGAAGTAAGAAGAAATTTCTGACAGTCAGTGGAATGACTTGTCTCCAGAGGTTGTGAGTGCTCCATCACTGGAGGTTTATTAAGAAAAGATTGGACACCATTTATTTTAAATGGTATAGGGTCTCTTGCTTGGGCAGGGGTTTGGATTAGAAGAACTCCAAGAACTTGGGCAGGGGTTTGGATTAGAAGAACTCCAACTCTCTGTTATTTTCTTTAATAGTTATAGAAAGTATTTCTCAGCAAGACTACCATTTCACCCTCAACATACGATGTATTATTTTCTATGATCTCTTCAAAACACTGTCTTTCTAAATGGATGGAGAAATGGAATGAAAACATTTGTAGAAGACAAGGCAGGTAATGAAGGAAGAACAAGTCAAGATATGGGTGGAGAGCTTTTTAGGCACCTGATATGTAGAAGGAGGAAGCTCAGTGTGGTGACCTAGTAGTGAAGACACTCACTTCCCACTCGGAAGGTTGAGAGTTCAATCCTAAGTAGTGGCAGATGTTGCTCTCCTAGGATATAAAGAAACTGCAAACTCTGTGAGCTGAAATCCACAAAAACTTACAAGTTATCAGCTGACAAGCTCAGCATCTTAACCCTGAGCCACCACACCACCACTCCCTCTTGTAACACAAGGAAACATGAACTTGACCAACTGTACGAGAGCGGTAGAGTTTATCCTGGTTGGACTGCCAAGTGTAGAGCGAATGGAAAGTGTGATGCATACAGGGATCTTTCTGCTCTACCTTCTCTGTCTGATGGGCAATGGGCTCATCATTGTCATGGTAATTTGGGACCCCCATCTCCAGAAGCCCATGTATTTCTTCCTTAGCAACCTGTCTTGCATTGACATTGGACACACCACAGCCTTTATTCCTAAATTGCTGGTCAACTATCTCTCTGCAAACAATTCCATCTGCTTCTACTGCTGTATAACACAGCTGTTCTTTTACTTCTTCTTTGGCATTACAGAATTTTTCATCATCACTTTGATATCTTTGGACAGATTCTTAGCCATTTGCTATCCTTTGAGATACGCCACCATCATGACTTCTGGGCTTTGCTTTAAGCTATCGATGACCGCCTGGTTTGTGGTTCTTGTCTATATGATTTGTCAAGTAATAATGATAGCTAACCTACCCTATTGCACATTCAACATTATCAATCATTTCTTTTGTGATGTTGGACCTGTATTAAAGATTGCAGGAGGAGATACACATCTAATTGAAGCCCTGGGTTTCCTTATTACTGTAGTTGTGGTGATGTCCTCCCTGCTTTTCACCCTCATTTCTTACCTCTTCATCATCTTCACCATTCTCCGAATGTCTTCAACAACCAGACAGCAGAGGGCCTTTTCCACCTGTGCTTCCCACCTGGTTGTGGTCTGCATTTTGTACGGGTCAGTCTTTTTTGTCTATTTAAGGCCTACTATCAAGAATTCTTCCTTTGGTGTAATCCGGTCTGTTTCTGTGGTACATACTACCGTTGCTCCAGTGCTCAATCCGTTTGTTTATACTATTAGGAACAATGAAGTGAAAGAAGCCATTTGGAAAGCATTAAGAAAAAAGACTCCAGCTTTCCCTAAAATCTAACCCCAGACTTGTTAGGAGGAGCAATCCCAATTCTTCAAGATGAGGAGTGGGTGAACTATCCATCAGCAATAGTGCACCATAACTTTACTCAAGGTAAGATTGAAGCAGCAACAGGTCAACATCCATACTCCAGTATTTGAAACTATGGTGATGGTAGAATCCATGGCTTCAATCCAAGTTGAATCCCAGGAAGAATTTATAATGGAAAGATAGATTTTGAATGTTCTTCAATCATGACAAATCAGATGTCAGTTTTCTTGTGAATCTGTACCAACAATAATAGTGATCTGCTCTCTGGATTGCTTTGTTGTTAACTTTGACTTGGGAATCAGTTTGCAGCACTTTGGATTTCCTGGTGCAGTTTATTGAAGGGAGACCATTGGAATTAACAATAGAATCCTTTATTGTTCAATTGTGAAAAGACACATAAAGAATTTGTCTGCTGTGCATAAGCTCTCAGCATACATACAAGCAACAAGTGATAAAACATGGTCATAATCATAAAACACAATCATCATAAATCATAAGATTCAAACTCAATGATAGTCATAGGATACTAAATAAGCAAACAACATAAATCATAATAGGATACTAAATAAAGACAATCAAGATAAATCAGGAAATACAAGCAACCAAGTTATAGTCATAAGAAGCTAAGGAAATAGGTAATAGGAAAAATGAAGAAATGAGAAGGATAATAGGCAATACAGCCATCCTAGTTGGTTTGACATCCTAGGGCATTAGACAGTGTTGTGGGACTTAGTTGTTTAGCAGAGTTATAGCATGGGGTCATATCTTGTGTCTGATTGTTTTGGCATGCAATAGCATCATCTTGAGGAAAGAAGTTGAAACAGTTTATGTTCAAGATGTGAGGCTCTGTGGATATTTTCACAGCCCTCTTACTGCAGTATGCAGGTCCTCAATGGAAGGCAGACATGTTGCAATTATTGTTTCTGCAATCTTAACTATCTGTTGAAGTCTGTATCTATCTAGTTGGTTGCTGTGCCAAACCATCCAGCTGTAGAGGTGCAAATGACAGACTCCATATTTCCCCTGTAGAACTGTATCAACAGCTCCTTGATTCACGATGTTGTAAGGAGAAACCATGATACTGGAAAAATGCAAGAGATAGGTCTTGGTGCTGTCCATGGTTCAGAATATCTTTCAGATAGTGCTCTGGAATTAAAAGATTATGACCTGGCATAAAAAACTGACTTTCTAAGGCTTTTGGTGTTCTTCATCTTTGTTTACCAACCCTTCTTCCATTCACATCAGATGTACTACAACTTTCTTCCTTATCTTTCCTGGTAAGAAAGACAAAGCTTCAAATTCTGTTCAATTTTGGAGGTGTTACGCAAGAAAGTATCATTTCTTAGAAATGGATGACAGAATTTGACAACTACCAAAATTCTACAGTTTTTCTGAGTGGAGATAATTAGGGGCTCCTAAGCAACTGGGAATCTTGTTCAGATAGATGCCTTATTTTTTTTTTCCAAGAGAGAATAATTTTTGTTCCCAGATTAACATTTATGTTAATTATATTACAGAATACCAGCATATGATAATGGAGACTCCTGGGATAGTTGAATTAACTGGAAAGCTTTGGATCATTTTTCCTATAAACTGATTTTTTTTAATAAAAAAAAATATTTTCCATTTATCCAACAAAGTTATACAACAAAATGCACTTTACAAAATAAAATAAATTCATAATCATAACCATAACCATAATCATAGATGCTGCTTGCTCCTTCCCCCCAAGCTGTATCCACCCTCCCTAATACTTTTGTTACTTCCCTCCTCTTTCTCTCCTCCCCTCCCTACTCTCTTCCCCTCCCCTTCTCCTCTTACCATCCTACTTCCTCCCTTCACCTTCCTCTCCTCTCATCCCTTGAGACAGATAGATGCCTTATTGAGGTGGCCTTTTTAAAAACCCTTTCTCTTCTGTGGATTGTATTATTGCTTTTATGATGTTTATTAATAACTTTTTATATTGTACTTTTTTTTGCTTTTATTTATTGTTCATGTTGTTTCCTGTTTGCCACCGAGAATTGCTTTTGGTGAGATGGCTGTATAAATTTGCTTAATAAAATAACTAACTAAATAAACTAATGTGTATCTCATTTGCAGCTTTTTACATTTACAAATATTTCTATCTGATTGAACTTCCTGCCCCAATTTTTAATTTCATTTTATATTTAAATCAACCTCCCCATCTGGTGGCCAGGCTGGGGCCTCCCAAAAATCAGAGACCTGTGATTGCCATAATTTTATGCCAGCATGGATAAATATTCCTAGAACAATCTTCTAGTAAAATTTGAGTCCCCCCCCCAGGTAGCCTTTTGTCATTTTTTTTCATCCTTGTGTTCATTTCAAATCAGTTTTTTCGGACTTGAGAATTATTTTATAAATGATGCACTCAGGTTTATAAGACTCCAGGGACATCTTTCCCAAAATATATGCCTTGTTCATTGGTTAATAATAATTTATTTTTATTTCTGATTCTCTTAAATGAATGTATCCATCCATATTATACAGGTAGTCCTCAACCTATGACCACAATTTCTGTTGCTAAGTGAGACATTTGTTAAGTGGGTTTTACCCCCCTTTATGACCTTTCTTGCCACAGTTGTTAAGTGAATCACTGCAGTTGTTAAGTTAGTAACATGGTTGTTAAGTGAATCTGGCTTCCCCATTGACTCTGCTTGTCAGAAGCTCACAAAAGAGGATCACATGGCCCCAGGATGCTGAGACTGTCATAAATACGAATCAGTTGCCAAGTGGCTGAATTTTGATGATGTGACCATTAGGATGTTGAATGGTCAAAAGTGGGAAAAAAGGTCATAAGTCACTTTTTTCCCAATGCTGTTGTAACTTTGAACAGTCACTAAATGAACTGTTCTATGTCCAAAATATCTGTATACAGATAGTCCTTGATTCATGATCTTAATAGAATCTGCCTATTACAGTCACAACTCTTCATAGACATTACGTAAGACAGCCATGTCATCCCCTTGCTTAACAACCTCCATTCCTCTTCTCCCTGGTGCGGTTGTTAAACAGAGCATGGGTTGCCTTAGGGTTGGGGGATGCCTTGAGAGGTGGAGAACAAGCCTCGGGCCCACCAGCTCCATGTCTCTCAAGACTTTTCCCAACCCCTGAAGCAGCCCATGTTCTACTTCTCAGGGACCTCCACAGGCCTTTAGAATAGAATAGAATAGAATAGAATAGAATAGAATAGAATAGAATAGAATAGAATAGAATAGAATAGAATAGACCATGGAGATCTTCTAGTCCAGTGGTTCTCAACCTGTGGGTCGGGACCCTATTTGGGGTCGAACGACCATTTCACGGGGGTCGCCAAACAACGCAGTCCACCATTTCCCCCCCCTTTTCTTTGGCCACACCCCTGGCACCCAGTGATGTATAAGTGGTTGGGGGTCACCACAACATGGGGAACTGTATTATGGGGTCGCGGCATTAGAAAGGTTGAGAACCACTGTTCTAGTCCAACCCCCTGCTCAAGCAGGAAACCCTATACCATTTCAGATAAATGGTTGTCCAATCTCTTCTTAAAAACTTCCAGTGTGGGAGCATTCACATCTTCTGGAGGCAAGTTGTTCCACTGATGAATTGTTCCAACTGTCAGAAAATTTCTCCTTAGTTCTAGGTTGTTTCTCTCCTTGATTACTTTCCATCCATTGCTTCTTATCCTGCCTTCAGATACTTTGGACAATTGCTTGACTCCCAGCTCCTGAGATATTGGAAGACTGCTATCATGTCACCCCTAGTCCTTCTTTTCATTAAGCTGGACATCCCCGATTCCAGCAACTGTTCTTTATATGTTTTAGCTTTATATGTTTTAGCATCTTTGCTGCTCTTCTCTGCACTCTTTCTAGGGTCTCAACATCTTTTTTATATTGTGGTGAACAAAACTGGATGCAGTATTCCAAGTGTGGCCTTACCAAGGCATTATAAAGTGGTTTTAACACTTCACGGGATATTATTTATTTATTTATTTATGAGACTTATATACCGCTTTAAGTGCAAGCACTCTCTAAGCGGTGTACACCAATCTGGGTCCTCATTTTACCTACCCCGGAAGGATGGAAGGCTGAGTCAACCTTGAGCCAGTGAGATTTGAACCGCTGACCTACTGAACACAGTCAGCTAAAGCGGCCTGCAGTACTGCACCCTAACTGCTGCGCCACCTCGGCTCATATTATATTTTATATTGAAACTTTTGGAAAGGCTTGAAATGATTTTAATATATGGCTTGAAATTCCATTAAGTCTATGGGCTAAAGTTAATCTTATTAAAACGAACATTGTCCCTTGCATGATTTATATTCTTAGGGGAATTCCTGGGTTAATATTGAATCAATATTTCCTTTTGATTGATAAGTTATTCAAGGCAGTTAGTGGGAAACTTGGGCAAGTGGATCACCAAGGTTCTCCTTAGTTAACTTGAGATTAGCATTTGAGGAAAGTAGCTTTAATTTATCTGATCTGTAAAAATATCATTACATTTTATCAGCCCCTTGCTGTTGGAATGAAAACGTAGTGGAATATTATCCTGCATGGGCTAAATTGAAATTATTATCGATTTCCTTTGTGATCTTGGAAAGTGATTCAAACAACCTGTAGCACAATAGTGTGTGTGTGTGTGTGTGTGTGTGTGTGTGTGTGAGAGAGAGAGAGAGAGAGAGAGAGAGAGAGAGAGAGAGAGAGAGAGAGAGAGAGAGAGAGAGATTGAAAGAGAGACCAAAGTATGAGCAATGAGAAATCCTTGGGCCACATTCAAATGTAAATTAAGTTTGAAGAGCAAGTGCAAATTTAAATATCCCAAAAAAGAAATGTAAATTCTCTAGTCTCCACATAAATACAACTAGATATGACAAGACCACCATCTTCAATGCATAATGAATTAAGCGGGGGGGGGGGTAACACTGAATATATCATGATCTCATACAAAATGTGTGACACAGAGACACACACACACATAATTATGTATTACACAGCATTGGATGCAGAGGCCATGATTTTGATGTCCTCATAACAACAACCAGATATACAGGTTGGGGAATTCTGGGAGTTGTAGTGCACACATCATAAAGCTTTTCTCCTCTTTTTATTGGAGACTTTAAAGAGTCTTTGAAGATTTAATAATATATTGTTGTTGTTGTTAATTGAGAAGTCGTGTCTGACCCATCGCAACCCCATGGACAATGTTCCTCCAGGCCTTTCTGTCCTCCACCATCTTCTGGAGTCCATTTAAGCTCATGCCTCCTGCTTCAGTGACTCCATCCAGCCATCTCATTCTCTGTCGTCCCCTTCTTCTATTGCCCTCCATCTTTCCCAGCATTAGGCTCTTCTCCAGTGAGTCCTTCTTTCTCATTAGGTGGCCAAAGTACTTGAGTTTCAACTTCAGGATCTGGCCTTCTAAAGAGCAGTCGGGGTTGATCTCCTCTAGGACTGACTGGTTTGAACGCCTTGACGTCCAAGATAATAATAATATAGCAGACTCCATTTCTGAGAATGGCTCTTAGAATTTGATCCAAATAAAACCAGACATGAGCCTTACTGATTCCATGCCATCTTCATGCCATTGCCTCCAGAAGTTGTGAATGCTCCAAGTTTTTTAAGAACCATTTGTCAGAAATGATATAGGGTTTCCTGCCTGAGCAGGAGCTGGTCCCTTCCAATTCTCTTATTCTATTCTATTCTATTCTATTCTATTCTATTCTATTCTATTCTATTCTATTCTATTCTATTCTATTCTATTCTATTCTATTCTATTCTATTCTATTCTACTCTACTCTATTCTATTCTATTCTAAACATAGTCTATGGATTTTTATGGGAATTAAATATATATATATATATATATATATATATATATATATATATATATATATATATATATATATATGCAAATGGTGTCTTAAGCTTCTGAAGAAAATAAACCACTATATCAGTGAAAGTTTTACATTCTCCAGCATGATTGGATGGAGAACCCACGGATGGGTTGTCTTAATCTATCTGCTCCAATTGGACTAAGTCTGAAATTGGTAACGCCCCCTCTGTGCCAAGTGCACCCCAGTTTTAGACTTAGTCCTATTTGCTCTAAGACGCGTTTTGTCTTCGCTCCTGGAGCAGAAGACTGTTAGATTCCATTTAATTGTCTAGCTCAGGCTATTAGTATTAATTGTTTTTTATTGTTGAATTGAATCGATTATTAGCTAGGAAAAAGGATCAATTAGACCAGTCTGAAGCCTATTTAGGCTGACAGACCCGCACCCCCTCCCCCTCGGGGGGGGGAGTTTCCCCTTGTTCGTTTCAATCAGTTAGGGACAGCAATTCTAACCTTCAAAATCACTCGTTTTTTTCCGGAGCTGCCTTGCGATCCTCCGACTGCCAGCTGATCGTCGGAGGCATTGCCGATCGCACTGAGGGCTCCGCAACGATCGTCGAGCCTCGCCAGGCCGGCAGGGAGCCTTCCCAGGTCCCTCGTTCACAGCCGACAGCAACAGGTGAGAAATTGGGCGCGACCCAATTTTCGGACCTCAGCCGACCTAATTGCATGCCACCAGCTGCTTAGGAGCCCAGGCGATTCACCCGAACGAGGGCTCGTCGCAGCTCACAACCCGGGCCTCAAGGCCTCGTTCCAACGGCCGTTTGTTTTCTGGGCCTTTTTAAGGCGCCAAATTGGCGGCCGCCATTTTGAATTACCTCCGGCGGACATTTTGGGAGTGGCGAAAGTCACGGGTGGCCATTTTGAGTGGGGCTGAAGCCTCGGCGGCCATTTTGTTTGTGGCTGAAGCCCTTGGCGGCCATTTTGAGTGGGGCTGAAGCCTCGGCGGCCATTTTGTTTGTGGCTGAAGCCCTCGGTGGCCATTTTGAGTGAGGCTGCAGCCTCGGTGGCCATTTTGTTTGTGGCTGAAGCCCTCGGTGGCCATTTTGAGTGAGGCTGAAGCCTCGGCGGCCATCTTGTTTGTGGCTGAAGCCCTCGGCGGCCATTTTGTGTGAGGCTGAAGCCTCGGCGGCCATTTTGTTTGTGGCTGAGGCCTCAGCGCCCAATTTGAGTGGGGCTGAGGCCCCAGCGGCCAG